CTTTTCTCTATTTTTAGCTTCACCGTGCAGTTTTGTGGAAAATTATAGGAAGATTTTCAGTATTCTTCACACTGTCTGAACTGTCACAGAAACTCCCATTTCTGAGGCTCTTGTCCGTCTATTTTTCAGAGGTGGATTGTGTCCACAGTGTCATTTTGGGAAGACGCCACTACAGCTCTTATTTGTGATAAGTCATTCAGTATTTTCTGATTTCTGCTGCATCTATTCATCTGAGAACCACTGTAAATACTGGCAGCTTGCATGAGGATTTGCAACATCAAACAACAACACACACACAAATGTCTGATGGCGATGTGTTTCCTGCACTCTGACAGCGAGGTTAGATGATCTGTCTGGCACGTCTCCTCATCCATATGGATGCATTTAAACTATGACATAATCCCTCTATTTGATGTTTTCTTTATTTGCTGGGCCAAGCTTAATGCTCCTGTTGTTTACAAAAGTGTGGATGGCACTTCGTGTGTTGCTAGAATCTAAAGTACACATCACAATTCCCACCAGTTTGCCCTTAAATGCCTTTCAGTCAAACATTTATCATTTCTTTGTGCTTGCAGACATTATCCTGAACTTCCGCACCACCTATGTGAGCCAGTCAGGCCAGGTGGTGTACGAGGCGCGCTCCATTTGCATTCACTACGCCACCACTTGGTTCTTTGTGGACCTGGTGGCCGCCCTGCCCTTCGACCTGCTGTATGCCTTCAACATCACAGTGGTGAGTACTGTTGGACCAACTCCTTCTTTCCATCACCCTCTGTGGCTGTTGGCAAACTGGTGGCTTGCCATAATGGTCCACTAATGTACCAATTTACCCAGAAATATATTACCTGCGCCATCCAAGCTGGGATATTGAGCTTTGTACGTTCACAGCTGAGCATATGGGCGGTTAAAGTGTGTAACAAAGCAGAGAAGCTGACTTTGTCTCCTTTTCTGTGTCGCTCTGTCCCCCATTCCTCTGCAGACGTCCTTGGTCCACCTGCTTAAGACCGTTCGCCTCCTGCGCCTCCTTCGTCTGCTTCAGAAGCTTGACCGCTACTCTCAGTACAGCGCCATGGTGCTGACCTTACTAATGTCAGTGTTCGCCCTGTTGGCACACTGGATGGCTTGCATCTGGTACATGATTGGGCGCAGGGAGATAGAGACCAATGAGACCTGGGACATAGGTGAGTCACGCTGAGGCTTTGCTGAAGTGGAATCTGTTAACCTTCTGAACTCGGAGCAGTTTTCGCTCCTGTGACATTTTTTACTCATTGAGGCCTAATTTTTCCATTGAAATGTAAATTATGGCACTTCTATTGAAACAGCAGGAGAGGACTCAGTAATGCTTTCTGGGCAGCACGAGGCAATTAAAACGCCATAAATCATTTAAAAAAATAAAAGGAAAAACAAAAGTTTAATGCTACAAAAACTGAGAAACATGGAATCTACAACATTTTGATGTTACCAAAAATCTACCTGCTCTTCGTAAACACAGCCTCCTATTCAGATCAGTGTAGCTGAAGGGTCACTAATTGCTTCACCGGCGCTGACTCTTTTTAGTTTTTTGCAGAATCTGACAGTTTATTTTTGGATGTTTTTTGAAACGAGACATGTAGAATAAAGTGAGTTTGATGACCTGCTGTGATTTTAAGCTTAGACTAGGTTATTTTTTTTCAGATAAAATGGCACATCACAGACGAGAAGTTCAGAAAGTTGAATATGCAATGATTCTCTCTGTTTGTCGCGTCAAATTTTGGCAATTTTTTAAAGGTAATACGCCTTTTAAACTTGTAAGTGGGTTCATAGAGTTAATGTAAATCAAAAAAAAAGAAAAGAAGTCGGTTCTTTCGTCATGCAAAGTCAGGATAACAGAAGTTCCTCTTTCTCTAAATGGAGTTTATTTACACCATGTGCCATTATTTATTGCACGTGCATACTACTCACCTTTTGACAACAATCCCATGTGAATCAAGTAGAAAACATCACAGGTTTTGGTAAATTGGGTCAAAAAGTGACAAAACAGCATTTGGATTAACTTCTAAATAACTTATAGAAACACTGCATGCTAAGCTCAGCTGTGATCATGAGTTCTTCATCAGAGAGTGTAGGTCTCCCTTTGCCATGACTGTCAATGATCTGCATTACCTAATCGTGAATAGTTTCTACTGTAGATGCCTAACCTGTGAGCAGAGCAGGTGGCTGTGACTGGGGAAGTTTACCTGAACTGACCCCATTGCATCAGCTGCTGTGATGTAACTTAAAATGGCCCTGCGTGTAGTGTAATGTGAGAAAACGCTGTCTGAATGAACGCAGGCTGCTGCTGAAGATGTCAAGGTATGTTTACACCAGAGATAGAAATGTGTCTCTTTTAACGTATAAATAAATCTCATTGTATTCTCATCTCAAAACACTGCATAAGGTTCAATTTTTTAATTAAATCAAATTAAATTAGATGTCTTGAACCCTCCACCTGATTTTAGTTTCGTAACTTTTTCATCCTTCTATAGTGTCTGATGAATTCATTTTGCCTTTTTCTCGTGATAAAGCCTAATATTTTATTAAACAACTCATTTCACAAGTTAACTACAGTGCCGACTATCCAGACTTGACTCTGTTATTGTAGGTGCTCTGTAAGTCACTCGCTTCCTGCAAAAAACTCCAGCAAACACCACAGACTACATTTTACCGACAGAGCGAGTAGACGTTTGTTTTTGTCCCCACTCAGCTATAAATAGTGATAGCTCACCTATCGGGTGTCTGGCTTTGCTCAGAGATGAGATGGTGGCGAACACCGTACTCTGCTGCTCTAATGAGGACTGTCTGAAAAGCAGATCAAAAGCTGATGTGGAAAAAAAAATAAGTAGCTGGTAGCGAGCGGTGCGCTAATGTTTTCTTTGTGTCACTGTTTTTAAAAAAACGGGACACCGGTAAAAACCCACAATCAAAAAACTGACAGGATTTTCTGTTCCGTGAATTATCTCGGTAATATCTGAGAGCTCTTCTTATTATTTCCACAGCCGCCTGTGTCGGATCAAAGAACGTGAGCGTGTTGAGATTTTAATTACCGCCAAAATGACTGCAAACAGGAGTTTTAACAGCCACATACAGCAACCAGATTACTGTGACATACTGTATGTGCAGCAGACTAAACATCTAGTCCAGTCAGCTGTGCAGAGAGTGTGTGTGTGTGTGTGTCCCTGAATGTGTGCATGATTGTGCATACCTCAGTGTGTATATTTTGTCTGTTGGGAGGTTAGGTCATACCTGCTAATTAAGACTTGGCCTTATTTTTCCTGGAGGAGCCAATCTAATTTAGCCCGGTCACACACCAACATGCCAGCCTCCTGACACTGCTGACGGTCTCTTTCAGACACACACAAACACACACACACACACACACCCAAACATACACTTTTGTGTCTCCCAGACAAGATCCAGCGGTACATTCCTGCCACTGCCAGCGAGCTCTGAGCTGACAGAAGACAAACAGACCTAAAGATAACAAGAACCATAACTTTTTGGACATTGTTCTGCTCTTCCTCCTCTATCAAGGGTGGCTCCATGAGCTGGGCAAACGTCTGGATTCGCCCTACGTTAACAGCACGGTGGGCGGCCCGACGGTACGCAGCTCCTACATCGCTGCTCTCTACTTTACCCTCAGCAGCCTGACCAGTGTGGGCTTTGGAAATGTCTGTGCCAACACCGATGCTGAGAAGATCTTCTCCATCTGCACAATGCTCATTGGCGGTACGTCTGACACCGGGGTACACTCTCCCTCTGGCGTCCTGGCGTAGCGGTGCCTCTGTTTGGCATGCCAGCGCAAAAGAATTCAGCAGGAAGTGGATCGAATGGTTTTGGCTGGCCTTTGAGACGCAGCTTGCTGCTGTCTTCATATCCCAAAAAGATATTTGAGCTGAGGTGGCAGTTATTGGTGCAGCAACCCAGAAGATAAGATTTTACCACTTGTCAGAACAAGTGATGGAAGCAGAGCTGTAGTTTACTGTGGCCTCTTTCTGGATCAATAAGCAAATAAACAGCCCCGAGTGTAGCGATCAATATAAGATTATATTTTATATTAAAGCTTGTCAGGTGTTTGAAAAGAATGAAAAGTAAAAGTCACCTTTGAGATGGATGTTCTGTCTTGTTTAAAGCCAGAGAAACAGCTTTTAGAACAAAGTTTTATTTTACATACGTTTTCAGCTTTTATATTATCGTTACTCTTTGTTGTCGTCTCTCATGCAGCACTGATGCACGCCGTCGTCTTCGGTAACGTGACGGCGATCATCCAGCGGATGTACTCAAGACGGTCCCTCTACCACACACGTATGAAGGACCTGAAGGACTTCATCCGTGTCCACCGTCTGCCACAGCAGCTTAAACAACGCATGCTGGAGTACTTCCAGACCACATGGTCTGTCAACAATGGTATAGATGCCAACGAGGTAGGAGTCCCTGCCATTGTTGCTGTCATGTAATACCTTTGTACATGCAGCTATCTACCCTCAAGTAACTTTAAGGCAATGTTTTGATGGCATCTGAACAAAGAAATCTGTTGTAAAATTTATTCCCGGCCCTTTGAGGCTGTTATCGTCCATGATTTTGCACAACACATGGCTGCCTGTCCGCCATCAATTGATATCCTATTGAAATTCAAAAGAGGGTAACTGGTAGCAACACAGTCTATTCCCTAATTAACAATCAGTGTCACACCTCATTACATCTGTCACACACCCACAGCTCCTGCACGACTTCCCTGATGAGCTGCGGGCTGACATCGCCATGCATCTGAATAAGGACATCCTCCAGCTGCCGGTCTTTAAGGGGGCCAGTCGAGGCTGCCTGCGCTCACTCTCCCTTCACATAAAAACCTCCTTTTGTGTCCCTGGGGAGTACCTGATCCGTCAGGGTGATGCACTGCATGCCAACTACTTCGTCTGCTCCGGCTCACTGGAGGTGCTGAAAGATAGCATGGTGCTGGCAATATTAGGTCTGTATACGTTTTTAGTATCTGTTTTGAGGTGCTATAAAGTAGAGCAAGCGAGTGATTGTTTGTCTTCTGGACTTTTAGGGAAAGGGGACTTGATTGGGTCTGACCTGCCTGGATCAGACCAGGTGATCAAGACCAACGCTGACGTGAAGGCGCTCACCTACTGCGACCTCCAGTACATCAGTGTTCGTGGCCTCAGAGAGGTGCTGGAGCTCTACCCTGAGTATGCCAGCGTGTTTGCCTCCGACATCCACAACAACCTCACCTATAACCTGCGTGAAGGCAGCCAGGACGAGGTACGAGTTACACAGAACACGCAGAAAGCTGGTGTTGATTAAACGTATCATGTTCCTGTTTTTATTTAACTCATTACCTAACCCCTGATTAGCATAACTTTGGTTCACCTGAGCCTACCAGCCTGAAAACCATCACCCAACTTCTCACCCACTATTGCACATGTAGTTTCTCCCAGGCCTTCAGTGGTGTCCTACCTGAATCAAACCACCTCTTAACACCAACATTATGACACCACAGCTATAAAAACCATCAGTACTATGCAGAGAGGCAGCATAACAGGACGTTGCACTGCAGACAGGTATCTCATGTAGCAAGAATGAATGCCATCAGTAAATCAAGAAACCCCTTAAAACAATTCAACCAGTCTCCTTTCACTGCAGCCACAGCTACACCAATTACATCACATCCAACAGGAGCATCAATATCAACCCAGCACAATGACAAAAATATATATCTGTGATTATTTGAACACAAACTCCATCCTCCTTTCTTTCATCATAAACAGTTCAGTCACTCTATTGAGCAGATAATCCATGTGTTTCACTTCCAACAATGAGTCCTGTTCTATCATGGAGGCTAATGCTGAAGTCAGGTCTGTCCAGTCGTGTTTCTGGCATAAGTTTTAATTCGCTTTAAGGCTGAGAATGTCCGCTTGCTTAACTTAAAAAGAACAAAACAATACTTTTATAGTTATAGCTTGTGCAGATCGCCTCAGGTATGAATCACTAGCTTTGGCTAAGCTCTCTGACCGTCCAATCAGAGGACGTGAAAGTGCTGACGTCATCGTAGGCCAACCAGCTGGCTCTGAGACCACCAACTCTAGATCTGATTGGTCAAAGCAACAGTTTCATTGCAATGCATTTTAAGCTACAGGCGCCTGCACTTTTGATTCTGAAGGTGTCAGGGCAGATTTCTTAGACCACGGCAACACATGGTGGCTGAAATATGATTGGCTAAAAGCTCTAGTATAAACATATGCTGCTGGAAGCGCCACAGCCCAGCTAGTTAAAAGAATAATGGGAAGATATTACAACATAAGTCAGTGATTCTGATAGTTTAGGCCAGCAGAGAAGGCACTCCACTGGTTAAAGGTTCTGTTTATAATCACTTTACAACCAACAAAGTCCTCCAAAGAGCTTCATTGGAATTCAACAGGACTTCTCACCCAAGAGGCTTCTTTAGTTCCAACTGACTGATGGCGAATCCCGGATAAATATTATCATCCCCAAAAGCCACAGCTAATGGCCCATTACCAACAAAAGACTTGGAGGCCTCAGGATGTGGATGGTTGTGGAGCTGCCAGGTTGCCAATCAAGGTTGTAAAAATGCCAGGTCAGGGAGGAATCAAGGAAGAAATCTCACGGCTGCATTACAAGTGACTGATAGCTGATTGTCACAGATCCCCTCCTCTGTTCAGAGATTTCTTATAATGCAGCCTTGAGAGTCTTGGGTCAGTTTTAAAGATGATGATGATACATATCTGGGATTCCCCATCAGTCACTTAAAGCAAAAGAAGCCCCTTCAAGGACCAACAAGAGAAATAACGTTTGTCTTTGAGGGTACAGGCTTGATGCTGGACTGCACTTTTGCTTTCACGATGCAGTGTGGAAGGTCACTAAGTGTGCTTATAAGTGCGCAGAGGGCCAACAGTTTCAAAGGGAGGGACTCACGTGCACTAGCATGCATGCACGACTGAACCAACGTAGAGCAGACAAGCTCAGATTACAACACACAAAGAGGCAGTGTGGCTTCATTCTCCTTCATTACTCCATTGAGTCTTCACACACCATGTCGTTGTTTGTAATCATGCTGTTAATGTTAAAAATATTGCACCTTTAAGGCCAGCAGCGATAACAAATGAGTTTAAACTTTCTGTTCTTGAGGCTGCTGTTGGTGCAGACGGACATATTTGACTCATATGTGTGTACTCTGTTACATGGCAGATTGAACATATAAAAAGTGGCCATGTTTGAAATTGAGCTACAGCTCAACAAACTCTACAGCGTCACTGTCCCCTCTTACATTTGTCAGACAGCCGAATACAGCACAGGACATATTAAACAACACATTTATGCCCCCCTGAGGTGCCTTTGTCTCTCTCCTTGACACTTGTTCTACCGCAGCGGCCAAAGGGCTGTTTGTGGCTTGATTGTCACACCAATTACTATGCGTGGGTGCCACTGTCAGGCAGCCATATCACTTCCCTGTTACCACCCCAAAGCGCAGCGGGATGACATTACACCCCGACACTGACCTCCTCTCAGTGCAGCGTGTTACCCTGAACAGTTATTTAAGAAAGCGTTGCGCAAGTCAGAGATGCTATCGAAAAAGTCGCATATTGTGTGATTGTGACGGATGACGCAAGAGCCGAGAGCCACCAGACGCCAACACGTGCCAACAAAAACCATCCAACAACAACAATAACAATAGTAATAAACTTTATTCCTATGGCATCTTTTAATGCTGGAGGTTCTTTGACAAAAAAGAGCAACAATAACACATTAGAAAACATATAAAAATATATTACAAATGTCAGTCTGTACACTATCTGAGCTGTAGAGGGGAACTTAAACAGCAAAAGCACGGTCAAGCCAAGTCAACATGATTGTCATCGTAGCTCCACACACAATACAGTGCAATGAAACCGCATTCTTACCTGAGACAGAAGCTATGACAGGACAAGATAAAAATATCATTAAGACAGATGAAAGAACCACATATCAGGGGAAAAAGGAGAGCGAGTGGCTTTGTGCAATATAAATATGTAATGAGTAATATGTTGTGTATCGGAGCCACAAGGTCTAAGCTATATGGCAATAAAATGCATCATAAAACAAGCAGGCACCACCACGTGTAAAAAAAAAAAATAATAATAATGAGCAAAGTATCCTTGTGCTATTGAAAAAATAAGTAATGAATATAGGTATGAACTGTTGCTCATCGCTGCTTGTGCTTCCCCTTTGTTTCCAATAAAATGTAAGAATCGATATGTAATCAAACTAAAATTATCAGCTGTTAATTTGCACCTGTTGCTGCTTATTACGAACTCGCTTTTCTATTTCAAGCGTCAGTTCTTGACCCTAAGAGTTTCTGTGATGGGTGTTGCTAGGCAACATCTGGCTAAACAGGAAGGGGTTCGTGAAGCCCGTTATATAATCCTGACAAGTTTTAATGCTGGGAAACAGACTTCTTTTTTTTCACTGATTGCTGTCAATTTCCAGAGTAAAGACTTTGCGATGCATGCTGCTACATGATAGTATTAAAACTATCTGTCCTGCAGAGATAAGGTTACATAGCGCTCTCTCACATTCACAGACCGCCGCCGTCGTCTCCCCCTCGTCTGCTGCAGACGCTCAGACAAGTTGTATCCTCGCTGTCTCTTTCTCACTTTCTCACTCTTACCTCCTCATCTCTTTTTTTTTTTCTTTTTTTCTGCGGGGTTTTGGTTGCATCTCCTCTTGGGCTCTCCAATTTACCCTGCAGCTACTGTATGTCTCACACTCGCAGGTAATTGTTCAGGTGCACCATTTCTCTTCGTCCTCTTATTTAATTTGGACTTTCAGATTTGCTCAAATATGATACACATTTAAAAGTGCATTTGCATTTTAGTTGTTATTGGTAGCTGCACCAAAACAAAACCCTAGCTCCAAGCTCTTTTCACAAACACTCAGCTGTCAGTGCCTGCAGTTTGAGGCTTCCAGAATTTTTACTGTAAGGCAAGTCAGTCCTCCATATGTGGACAAAATAAACCTGTTGCTGTTCTACATGTAGCCGTGTTTTCAGACATCGTAACAGAATCTGTTAAAAGCTGCATCTTGAAACCCCCCAAAAATTAATGAGTTCATGAATTACAGTAAAAGCACAGCGAAGTTCAATAGCTGTTTTGCATGACAGTTTGTTAAATCGTACGATCAAAACAAATTAATGGCAAGATGTCTTTGATGTGTGACTGACAGAAGTGACAAAGCTCTCCAAGGGCTTTTCACAATCTCACTCTCATCCTTGTTAGTCTCGAGCATTGTGTGCCTGCTTCAAGCACTCCTCTTGGTTCCCAATGGCCTTTCCCATTGTTTGAAGGTTTTGTTGCTCATTAGCTTAATTATTTCTCTTTTCTCCTTTTTGGATTTGTGTAGTTTGGTACATGAAGGACAAGGCATCTGTGGTGATCGTGTTAGTTACCAGATGTCTTTTTTTTTTCTCCTCTCTGTCAGGCTTTAACTCTATTAACAAGGGATTCAAAAGCACAATTATCATGTTCGTAGTTTCCTTCCATGAAGACGGATCAAAAACAAAATGTGGCTCCTTACAGAACTGTGCATATGGAACAGAAAAATTAATTACTGAAGAAAAGTTTACTATCATCACATCTTTATGAGCAGAGAACGTACAAAGCCTATAGAAAGTATTCACCTTCCATCAAAGTTGTCTCCTTTTATTGCTTTTTAACATTGAATCGTGATGAAATTAATACGTTTTTTTGACAATAATTTACCAAAAAAAGACAAATTAATGTCAAAACAGATTTCTACAGTAAGGTCAATTAATTGAAATGCTAAAATGTAAAACATTGCATAAGTCTTCCCCCCGTTTAGGTCACAACTGAACACATTTGCAGCCAACTGGTTCTAGAAGTCACACATTTAGTGAACTGGAGATCGTCTCAGTGCGGCGAATGTGTCTCAGGTGATTGTAGTATAAAGACACCTGCATGTGGAAACTCCTGTCACTGGTGAATTCTGGCTGTAACTGCAGCATTAGGACAAAAGAACACTTCAAGCAACCTCGTAAAAAGGTTACTGAAAAGCATAATTTAGGGCAGGGACACATGGAAATTTCCACGTCACTGAATGTCCCTTTGAGCACAGCTAAAGCCATCATTAGGAAATGGAAGGAATATAGCACATGTGTAGATCAGCACGCAAACCCCAAAGACTGAGGGACTCTGCAAGAAAGATATAAAATGTAAAATATACATTTAATCAGGGAGGCCACTAAGACA